TGACTCGTGCCTAAGGCCACGTGTCCGTCATCACCAAAGTTGCCTCGGCTAGGGAACTTGGGTACGAGAGGGGAAGGTCATGCAATGAGCAACCCCGCTCGCCCGATCAAAGGATCGGCCTGTACTAACATGATATTTTATTTTTGAAAACACATGTGTTCTTATTCCGATTCATTAGCTAGCTTTACTACGTGTTGCGCACAACATACAAGTATAGACTAGGTCACCTAAATTGGAACAAAATATCTCATGTTTGTTTGAAAATGGTTTGAAGGTGCTACTCGCAAGTAGGCTAAGACATGGATTTGCCACCGTCAAGTGGGCTTAGAAAACATGATTTTGCCACTCTCAAGTGGGCTTAAAACTCGCATCTCGATGAATTGTTCCAATTCAAGCAATCCAACCTTCATCCACAGGCATTCAGACAGTTAAACACTTAAGCAGTTAGCCTCATGGCAAGCATGCTATCATGGCAACACTTACACGCATGCAAGATGCTAAAGCATAAACACTTACAGTGTACTCCGAGCCAAAACAGAGAACTAGTTAGAAATCAATGCATGAGATGCAAAATGCAACTAGAAATAGGCTCGGCTATTCTAAAATGGCATATGAGATGCAACTTGATAACATGCTGTTGAACACGTATTCAAGTAAATGTATTAAAATACAATGCGGTTTGTATGATGCGTCGAGCCCGGTGCATATAAGACAAATGAATGAATGCAAACATGCGAAGCATAAGTATGCTAATTGAAACATGCCCTAAAACTAACCATCAAAAGCGGGTAAGTAAAAGGGAGAAAGAGGTGGGGTTGGAAGACATTCACACACGCACGCACACTTATTACAAAATTAGCCCTCTCGACGGAGGGTCTGAATGAATAATACGCTAAGTTAGCTATGCTAAGCTATTCTAATTAATCTAATAATCTAATTAGACTAATTATGACACAACCGAATTGAATAACAAGCTACAACTAATTATTCCATCACAAAACTAATTAAACAAATTAATTAAGTTACAAATTCAAGCTAATTAATAAGAAAAGCTTTAAACTATGTTGCTCTAACTCTAATCGAAGAAGTGGAAGACGCATGCTCGGTTCTCGTCCCGAAAGCTCTTCGGATGCTTTTTAGAGGCTCTGTCTACAGGGTGTCCTTGAAAACTAGCTACTGGATCTTACCAAAAACATGCTGAGGAGTGCACCAGTGGCCTGCCGGCCATGAGGATCTGCTGCTGACCATTCTGCCGACCAAGAGTGCACATTACCGGCCACAAATGAAGATCTGCAGGCCATCAATAAGGGGGGTGCCGGCCACTGGTGTGTTGTGACACCAAGCTGCAGCAGAGCACAAAATAGAGAAAATGAAGGGTCTCCCAAGGGTATGTATGCACTATGCCACCCCATATCACCTCAAAACATCAAGAGAGAGGCATAACCGGATCCACGACCATCAATCACACATCTCGATGCATGATGGCCAAAGATCCAACATGTGCAAATTCAATAAATGCATGACAAATAAGACACCAAGACCATTTCCTTATCATGGGAAGTCAAAGGAAATGGACACCAAAGGGTGATTGGCTCACTTCATCACATCGAGTATGAAATGAGCTAATCCACCTTGTGTTCAACGTAATGCCCGATTGAACACAATGCAATGCTCACAGACAACATGTTATGTAAACAATCATGCTAAGCTTGACATGTTAAGGTGGCATGCAAGACTCTATCATGCAAACACTCATGCACAGCATGTTAAGGGGCCAAGAACACCAAGGCTAGCTAAGAGAATAACACTAGAATAACACTATAAGCATGCATCACAATGCCCAAACATTCAAACCAACTCAAAACAGAGTTACACCATACCCAAAACAGTGGCAAAACATGTTAAGATAGAAACTCAAAGGACTATACAGACATGCATGCATATTAGCCCAAGCTTAAGGCACAAAACACAACTCTCCAAAGGCATTGAAAGAGTGAAACATGGAGTATAGTGGCATGTGTTCCAGCACTGAAATGGCATGCAAAATGGCTTGGAATCATGCAAACAACCCATGTAATGCATGTTGAAAAGCTCAAAGCATCAAAGCTAATGAAGTGTATTACACTAGGGGCATGCAAGACAATGCTCAAATGGCCAAACCAACCCCAAACAGACCCTATGCAAGCCAAAACAGTAGCAAAAATGGACTGAGATGATGGCTTGAAAGGCAAGAAAATGAGGCTCATGCAATGGCTCACAAGTCAGGCATAAAGGTATAACTCTCAAGAACACTTAAAGAGTGAAAAACATGAAAGTGTAACTACACTATATGCTCTGAAATATCATTCCAAATGATGCCAAGACATGCAAATACCTCAAGTTAAGCATGCAAGATTCCTCAAAATTTCAAGACTAATAAAAGCTTTTGCACTACAAGCATGCATGACAAGCATCATTCGACCAAGAAGCCTCAAAACAGAGCTAAAACATGTTAAAACATGAGTGAAAACGTGCTGGAATAGAGTCAAACAATGCTAGAATAACGAATCAAAGTATAGAGCATGTTAGGCTAGCAAGGCAAAATTACACTACAAGTGTATGAGCCACTCAAGAGACAACCAAACCAGCCAAAAATAGAGTCAT